ATTACCTGAAAGCCGATTGGTAGGCTTGCTTCCAGAGTGGATGTATGTAAACGGCAAAAGCATTCTTATCTTTTTTTAGCTAACCAAAGAGCAAAGTAGCACAACGCTTGTCATGTAGGGGAAAGGCGTTTTGATCAAAGTCAGACAGTAAATGAGAGGGCAAATTTAAAGTTGAATATCTCTTCAATCGGACTAAAGGATAGCCAAAAGTAATTAAATAAGTAGGTATCCTGCCCATGTTAGCTTCAAGATGGTAAAGATTATTTAAGGATTATGTATCTGTAGGGTGTATCTCTACACTCAGCCACCATATTTAGCGCTTATTGAGCACGAAAGATGAAGAAGAAGGAAAAGAAGGTAGAACATTCTCGTACAGCATAGAATAGAAGAGAATCGCACCTCTGTTTTGTAGTTATTGTGGGGAGTCACATTTCTACCATGAAATCAGCTTGCAACGCGCGATGTTGGCGCATTGTACCATTGTGTGGCATTTCACTCCACCCTTCTGGCATACTACTGACGGGAAATTAGTGACCCTGGTCAGTCAGCTGTCATTCAAAAACATCGACCAAAAAGATGAAAAGTGATTAAAAATTTAAGCACAACATACGAGAGAAATTCACAGCCTAAAACTAACAGGCAAATAAACAATGAATGCTAACCTACAACTTTTTACAAATGCTCTGCCTACCATAGAGATTTGTCATCATCGGCAACAAAAATCTTTTATGTATCACCTACGTCTTTTCTTGCACAAGATCTAGTAGCTTTAAATAAAGGTGGGGAGATAGGGCCTCTTGTTAATCAGTCTGATTGAAGGAATTCTCAGAGCTAAAATCACTTCCTTACTCAATTTCAGATGTTGGTATCGTAGTGCAGAATGGATTAGCATATCATCATCTGGCTTCTATCTTTGTGCTTAACCCCTTCCCTCTTAACGATAGGAGTTTTGCACATTTTCCGCTATGATTAGCTTGAGAGGCACCTCACTGATGGCCCTGTCAAATGCAAGCACAATGGAAAAGAACACACTGATCATCGCCTAGGGACAAATGAGAAATCGGGCCTCTAAGCAAAAATGTTCCATGTCCCTAGATTCACTAACGTGATGTACAGTAGGCACTGTCAAATCGAGAAAGTGATGCGTCTTGGTCAACTATTATTCTGCCTCACTCATATCGCTATGCGGTTGCACTAAATTGGCACATACAGACTGGTGGAGGGCAAATCACCACAGTGCATGCGACATATAGTGCCCAGTATTCCTAGTGTTTTATCCGCATCATAATTCAAACTTCAAAACGTTTTCTTTTAAGAGGAACATAAAAAAATATCAGTTTTTTATAAATTGTTTACGGTTTTTCGTCCCCTAATAGCCCATCACAAGTACCACATTTAAATTACCTATTGACCTTATAACCTGACGTTATGCAAAAGGAAGCATGGGGAATGATAAAAGTGACTCGCCCTCTTCTCTAGTAGTCTTCTAGCATGCAGGACGATATTGAATGCTACAGCTTGTTACAGCGCACATCTTTTTCTCTGACCTCCCAAAGGACTGTAACTATGCGTCCTGACCTTAACTACAAGGTTGTTGCATGTCTACCTGCTGGACACCTTTGTCAATATCAAGTAGCGTATGATTTGCAAAAGAAGTGACAAAACAAAATTGTGTAGAAAAGGAAGGACAAGTATGCAAAAATGCTGGTTTTATTTGTGCAAATGCAATTAAGCATATTTAATGGCATTCGCTGTTACTGCGCTTCCACCCCCCACTTGCGGACGTCAGGCTAAACCCCCTCGACGTAACAGTCAATAGCAGGCCCACATGCGAGCTTTTCGTCAGAGCAACAACTCGTGTGTTTAATTCTTCTCTACTTCATTTAGTACCTTAACCTGGCTTCGAGTTTTCCGAGTGCTAGTCGCTGTGATTGAGTTAATGTCAGTGGAGCTCTCCCTAGGTCAGGGTATGAAAGATCTTGCAGCATCGCTCACAATGACTTGGCTTTAAATCCTCAACCACCCAATCAGCGGGCGGTTTTGATTCACGTAAAATTCAGATGAACCCTGATGAAGCGTCTTTGAATGCTGAGTCCGACTCCCTGGACAGGATATATTAGGTCTCTCTGTAGTCGGCTCGGCAGTCCCTGCTCCATCGTTTACACTGGCCGTTACTGCGTAAGCTGGAAACACAAACATCCGCTTGCAACTCGTCCTTTTCTCGCCCAAACTTTGGAGCAAATTGTCTCATTTCATGGACATTGACGGTCGGTAGTTGGACGGATAAGGCTACAACAGAAAGGCTCGACTGATTGATTCTCTTGTGCACGTTGGCAGGTGCCAATTTATGCAGAAAAGGCGCCAGGATCTCCCGACTCACTAATAGCGATAAGTTTCCAGTGACCTAGATAATGTCATCTCTAATCTCAAAAGTGACGGGGTCCAGTTTCAAATACTGGGGCATCTCTTGACCAAAGTAGTATCAAGGTGGCGCCGCTCTGACCACTGACTCACAGTGGCGGCACTGGTGATGATAATGGAGATTTGACCTAGTCAAGAAACCGAGGTGATCTAGCTCAAATATTTTGGAACATGGAATGAAGCCGCATATCTACGGTTGGAATATACGCCTATTTGTTAAAAAGGTGCTTTTGGTCTTTTGCCAACAGGGAGGGTATGGAATGACTCAAAACGGATTTCGTAGTAGCCTAATGCACATATTAGAATTCTGGAGATAGTACGACTAAATCTGAGTACCTATTCAGCTAGAAGCCATTC